CTCCGCCGCCGGGGACGCAGCCCAGGCCCGAGGAGACCCCAGGTTTGGGGGTCCAGGCCCGGCCGACAAGGCCTCCTGCTAAATGAACTTTCACCCCCTAATTTGATCCGATTTGGTTAATTAATTACAGAATCTGAACAGGCCGAAATTCACTTCTTGGCGTCTGCCCACCCAGGAATCCAGACCTCGCCTCGCCTCCTCCCTGGACCCAGGACTCCGGGCCCAGCGTCCTTCCTCGGACCAGGGTCCAGGCCCGGCCTCCTCCCTCACCCCTCTGTCCAGCGTCCAGCGAGTCCTTCCCGCCTGCAGCCCTGGCTCTCGTGACTGGAGACCCTAGTTCCTCTCTCACATCCTGTGGGAGGGAGGCTGCTCCCACACTCCCAACATGGGCCCACCCCCGGGGGCAGGGCACACCCCAGCCAGAGGCCCAGCCTCTCCCAGCCTCTCCCCGCCTGCCTGCCTGCCTGCGTCTCTGCCGCTGCCTGCGCAACCCCGGAGCCAGTTAACCCCAGCAGCTCATGCCAGAGTCGGGAAGGAGCCGGGCGTGGCAGCGCACGCCTGTAATCCCAGCACTCGGGAGGCTGAGGCAGGAGGATCACTGTGAGTTCGAGACCAGCCTGGGCTACATAGTGAGTTCCAGGTCAGTTTCAAGATAATTGCAGCGTCAGGAAGGAAACCCACTGCCTTTTGGCCAAGTGTGGAGGTCCTGGGTCCTGCTGTGGCTTTGGGAGGAACTCCCAGTCACCCATGATTCTTAAAGGACCTTATTTCTATGGCCAGTTGCCCTATTTACAGTTGGTTGGTGGCTTTTCGCACAGGGTCTCACTCTGTAGTGCAGGCTGGCTTTGAACTCCTGGCAAACCTCCTGTCTCAGCCTCCTGAAAGCTGGGATGACAGGTGCACCACTACCCCCAGCGCCATTCACACAGTCAAGGTCCTGGAACAAGGTCCCCGGTCTGGCAGGTGCCTGGTGCCCCACTCTGACTTCCCAGCACCCGTGTAACCCCTGGCCTCCTGCTAGGACGTCTCTAGTTCCTCCGGGTCTCAGGGTGCGTTCTCACCTGCACCCTCTGTCCCGCTCCTCCCGTGGCCCTAGGATCCAGGGCAGAGGGCCACCTCGGGCCCTTGGATGTTGCTGAAGGATGTGCCGGGTCTCTGGTGGCCTCAGCCCACCCACCGCAAGCACACTGAGATTAGAGCTGGCTCTACCGTCCTGGGCGTCCACCCCAACCAGGATCCTGCTGAACGATCCCCAAGCCGGATGGAACTGGTCATCCCTGGGTCCCCTTGGGTGCTCTCCTTGCCTCTGTACTCAGCCCGTTGCCCTTTCTTCGTGTCTGCCTGGGTTCCCCCTATTATCAAGCCCTCCCCCTAGATCCTGCCACCCTCATCCTCCATGCGTAATATGCACAGACAGCTGGGGAGGTGGATGGGTAGGGAGACGGAAAAATAGCCAGGTAGGTAAGCTGTGCTCGGCCATGCACACCTATGATCCCAGCACTCGGAGAGGCTGAGGCAGGAGGATTGAAAATTCCAGCCTAGTCCGGGCAATTTAGCAGTTTAGTGAGGCCCTGTCTCAAAATAAATAGTAAAAAGGGCCAGGGATGTAGTTCACTGGGAAGACTCCCGCTTCAACCCCCAGCACCGCCCCCCCCAGACAGATAGCAGGACCGGTGGGCAGACAGTCAAGCAGGTGGTTGGTAGGTAGAGCAGACAGAGACAAGGAGCTCCTATTCAAAACAAAAACGAAGCCCGGTATGGTGGCACAGGCCTGTGAACCCAGCACTTGGAAGGCTGAAGCAGGAGAGTTTCAAATTCCAGGTCAGCCTAGGGTACACAGCAAGGCCTTGTAAAAAAGGCCTCGAGGCTCCTGAGTTGCACCCGAGCTAGTTGGGCCCCAGGCCTGTGAGCGCCCCCTAGGCGTTCACTCGGGACCCTCTCATGCATGATCGGTAGGGCCTCCTGCAAAATGACTTCGTTGTGTGAGTGCAAGGAGGCTCAAGCAGAGTCTAGCACCAGGCACCCGTCCTTTCTAATCTACCCCAGCCACAGCGGAGCTGGCCCGGAAGCTGGAGGGTGCGGGGCCATTGGTGCTGTGAGAGCCCAGGACAGTGCTAAACCTGTGCCCGACTGTGTAGCTGCTTGCAGCGCCACCTAGTGGCCAGGGGAGGCCACCACACCTGAGCCGAAACCAACTCGCAGGCTCCTCCAGGCTCAACTCTTCAAGCCTTGGTTTGTTTTGGGTACTGGAGATCTAACCCTTGCGTCTTCCTACGGAGCTACATCCTCAGTCCTTTTTAAATTATTTTTTTATTTTTTGGTTTTTGAGACGGTCTCACTATGTGGATGAGACTGACCTGGAACTCACTATGTAGCCCAGGCTGGTCTCGAACTCACAGCGATCCTCCTGCCTCAACCTTCCGAGTGCTGGGATTACAGGCACGTGCCACCACGCCCAGCTGTCAGTCCTTTTTTTAAAAGGGTGTTTTATGTTTTTATTTTTTGAGACGGTCTTGCTTTATAATTCAGCCTACCCTTGAACTTACTACATAGCTCAGGTTGGCCTCAAACTAGTGGCATCATCCTGCCTCAGCCTCTAGAATGCTGAGATCATGGCACCTGTCCTTTTTTTTTTTTTTTTTTTTTTTTTGAGTTTATTGGTACATTTAGGGATACAGTACAGTTACATTCATTGTTGGGATCATGACCTGTCCTTTTTTTATTATCTGCAAACTGGACATAACTGTACCTGTCTCAGTAAGAGCTTTGGGGACCCGAGGCTCGGCCAGGGGCACCAGGCACAAAGTAAAGGGTGTCAGCAGTGGCACCTGCTCCCCTTGGCGCCTCCTTACCAGGCCAGGCAGCGGGTAAGGCCCCCACAGGGCCCTCCGGGGGGCTGGCTCTCTGAAGGCAGGTAGGGATGGACCTTGCTAGCTCCTGCACCCACCCCCAGGGCTGGAACAAAGGACAGAGGCAGTAATGAAGGACCCTGGCTGCCCGGGATGCCCCAAACCTGTCCCTGGAGTGCCCTGCTGTCCTCCTGGGCCCCCCTCAGTCTGTACCCACCTGGAAACCATGGGGACAGTCAGAGGATGGAGGTTGTAACATGTAATGGGGCTGGAACGTGTAACAGCTCAGTGGTGTGCTTGCCTAGCAAGCCTGAAGTTCTCTGTTCCAACCCCAGCACTGCAAAATAGTAACAGTAAGAAGTAGTCATGGGCCTGGACCTACCCCAACTCAGGCAGTACTGGAACTTGCTTACACACACACACACACACACACACACACACACACACACACACACCCTGCTGGGTCAGTCCCCCAAACAGCTTACAGACTTCAGGAAAAATGCAAATGAATTCGACTTCCTGCTACCCAAATAGTACTTTAGTGGGAGAAAAACAAAACAAAACAAAACAAAACCCCCAAACAACAACAAAAAATAAAACAAACCAACCTGTCACGGTGGCAGCACTCCTGCAATCCCACCACTGGGAGGCTGAGGCAGGAGGATTGCTGTGAGTTTTAGGCCAGCCTGAACTACATAGTGAGACCCTGTTTTAAAAAACCAAACAAATGGGCCGGGGATTTAATTTAGCTCAGTGGTGCCACCGCCTGCCTCAAAAGTGCAAGGTCCATGTTCGCTCCCTGGTACCAAACAAAAACAAAAAACTAAACAGGATTCCACAGCCACAAAATACTTTTGGGCTACCTGCCAAAGACCTTATCCTTGGGTCTGCCAGAGGGACGGCCGGCCAGGTGCGTGACTCCGTGGAGCCTTTCTGACCCTGGCTCGGGGCTCCAACAGCCCCAGTTTGGAGCCAGGCCCGTTGTGTGTGCAGAGCAGAGTGGAGGCGATGCTGGGGGAGCGCGTTCCCTCCACAGCCTCTCGCATGCCCCCCAGCACTGCGCAGGATCCTCAGGAAGGAAGGAGACGGGTTCCACCTGATTGGCTGGGGTAATAAAGCCGTGAAGGGTGATCTGGGGGTTGGAGGTTTGCCAAGTGAAGTAGGTTGGTGAAGATTAAAGATCAGGCGCTGAGGGAGGTGGGTGAGGCTGGCCTGGTGGTGCTTGTCTGCCATCCTAGTACTCTGGGAGGCAGAGGCAGGAGCATTTCAAGTTCGAGTCCAGCCAGAAAAATTAGTGACTTGGCAAGACAACGTCTCAATTAAAATAAAGGGCTGGAGGTGTAGCTCGACGTAAAAGCCCTGGGTTCAATCCCTAGCATGGAAAAGAAAGGAGACTGGTTGGGCATCAGGAAGAGGGGGTTGGGGCGTGGGCCTGGGAACCGAGGTGATGGGCAGCGAAGGAGACGCCCCTGTGTCGCGGGAGGAAACCGGGGAGCGGAGCTGTTGTTGTAAACAGCGCCCCACCCTGAGCGGAAGCACCTGCGGCCTGGGGCCCGCACCGCCCGGCGCTCCCTCCCCG